ACGCCTACTACCGGGACGCCCACGGTAAGCACGGCCACCACTGCTTCCCAGGGGGGAGCCCCCTCCCGCCGGCTTTTCGGGGCCCCAAGCCGTGACTCCAGGCCAGGTGAATCAGGAATCACCGGAGTGGTTTCCCCGTGGGAAGCAGCCGCCAAGGATGGAGGAGCCTCTGCGTGTCGAAGTGCAAACGCCACGTGTCTAAGGCATTGCCCGTAGTGGATTTAAGCATGTGGCTTAAAAGCAGGGACCTCAGCGGTGCGTTAACGCCGCGTCCCCAGGCGTGACCCGCAGCGGGGCGTGCGCTGGCTCGGGGAACGGTGCAGAGCAAGCTCCGAGACACTGGCTCTGCTCGGCCGTGCTCCCGCCTGGCACCACGGCACCAGCACTAATGCACCCTCCCTCTCTCCACAGCCCTGCTCCTGCTCTACGACGTCACCAACAAAGCGTCGTTTGACAACATCCAGGTACGGCAGCACCCCCTGGCCCCTCCTCCCCGTCCCTCCTGTGCCATGGGCTGGGTGGCAGTTGGGGGTCGGCCCCGGGGAGGGGGTACGTGCTGCAGGAGATGCGTGTTGGAGGTGTGAACCGTGATCGTTTCCAGAAGGGCTGTGGCTAATGCCGAGCGCCCGTCTGCCTACGAGGACACCAGAGGACGGGCAGAGAAGGTTTTCCTTTTCATGGCAAATAAAAGGGGTGATGGATTCACTTCACCGGCAAATTAATGCTGTGTGTAATTACAGCACCGGCTGGAGAACTTGCTCCTGTAAATGAGCGCAGGCAGCTTTACTGAGCGAGGTGCTCCCTCGTCCTCCTCTACATCTTGGGGTCCCGATGGGTCGGGCCTGGGGGGCGCGTTGCCCCCACCCACCTTAGTGCCAAACCTGGGCAGGGCTGCACACTCCTCACCCCCGGCAGACCTGCCCTTCCTGCCGGCTTTTGTGGGGATCCCTTGTGCTGCCCGCCTCTGCCCCTTCCCCGCAGACCCGGCCCCCCCCTGGCTGAGCCTGGACCCCCCCCTGCGTGCCTAC